GTAATAATTTTGGCATTATAAATTTTGGATTAATTTTACCAGTTTCAGATTAGTTTTACCAGTTTCGGGTTAGTTTTACCAGTTTCGGATTAGTTTTACCAGTTTTACCAGTTTTGGAAAATAAGAAAATTTCAGAAATAGTTTTACCAAGTTTCGGTTTTGACAGTTTCGGAAACTACTAAGTTTCGGGCAGCATCTTTATCTTCCAGGTATACTGAATCATAAATTTTAATAGGACCCCGGATATCTTCAAAATAGGTCATAAGTCACACTTTCGGCAGATTGGCACATTTTTCAGGGGTTCAAAAAAATCGTTTTTTGTAAATATCTCAGCATCCAGAGGTCCAATTTTGATGAACTTTTTTTTAAATTGTAGAGCTAAATGAGGGCTATAAAATAAAAAAAGTTCATTAAAATTAAATCACTGGATGCTGAGATATTTACAAAACCGATTTTTTGAGTTTTAGCAAAAAGAGTATTTTTGGCCAAAAATTCATTATGACCTTTATATTAAATATCCGGGGTCCTATTTTAATGTAAAATTTGTCATTTTTGGACTCCTGCAAAAATGTGTTTAGAAAGATATCTAAAGTTGAAATTAATTGCAATAATCTTTCAATAAAATTTGAATGTAATAAATTTTCAGATTTTTTCAACAATTTTATTTTTTAATTGATATTATCTAATGTTAGTTCCCAAAGTACTTTTCCAAATCCTTCAGTTTTATGATAAATAACTTTTTTAGTAGAAAATATCAATTCTTTATGTTTTACCTATAAAAAATTTTAGAATTTATAATTAAATTTATATTTATATATATTTCAAAAAAATTAATTTCAGTCATATTAAATTTAACTACAGTTTACTTTTCCTATAGCAAAATTTGATATAACGAATTACGTGATGCTTAGCCAATAAAATATGATAATTTTTCCTCGCTATACCGAAGTAACCAATCAAATTCTTCAAATTCTTTGTTAAGGTGCTATAACGAATTTGAGGTACAGAACGGCTTCTTTGTTATATCAAGGGTAGACTGTAATAGTATTTACCAATTATCTCATTATATCTTTTCTATTGATAACCAATATAGAATTTTAATATATGATTTGTATAGTTGGAGACACAACAAATCATCAAGTTGTTTCAAATTGAGATTTTAAAAAAATCACGTGATATGTATAATACTAATTTGCAATTGGTTAAAAATCAAACCATATCGGGAAATGTTTTATCAAAAATAAAATCTGGAACAGCTTTTTTTCTTTTTTTAGCTATTTTTTGATAGTGTTGTGCTCGTTTCTTTAGTCGTGCCATGGGAAAAAATTCTATGATCTACATTACCTCTCAGCCAGTCATAGTTCTGGCCTAAATTATAGAATTTTGTTAAATTCTGGCCAGAATTAAATGTTTCAAATCCTACCGTTTATTAAGAAAATACCGAACTTTGCAGGCTAATAATTTTTGATCTAGATCACCAATCAGGATAATTTCAACGTCATTTTGTAGTTTAAGTTAGTAACAATTAAACTATGTTGAGTTATTTTAAATATATGTATCCAAAATATTTTATTAAATTTCTAATTTGGACAATTTTATTTGATGAATTGTTGTGTCCCAAACTGTAGAATATTTTATACGTTATAACTATTAGATACCAAGCATAAATAAATTAAATAAAAGTCATAAATAGAGTAAAAATCTAGATAACAGAAATAATAGATATTAGATAGATAGATAGTAATGCAGATCAACTCCTATCATATGAGTATAAACTGGGTATATGATGTCATTTATTATATGATAGTTCTTAAAATGAATATTTGTATAACTTTAATTCTTATAAATAGAGAGTGAATTCCTTTGAGTCATGATTTATTTTGAATTTGAATTTCATTTTGTTTAATCACATGTTTTGTATTACTAACATCATTTAATACTAACTCTTACTTTTGAAATCTGATTTGACATGACAACTATTATGAGGGAATCAGAGGTTTTAACTAAGGTTGCTGGAGAAACTAGGAGGTTTTGGCAAGTTGGCGAAATGGCGAAATGGTGAAACTTTGCTGAAACTATATGAAAGTCTTATTAATAACTCTGGAGAAAAGCGAAATCTGATGAAACTTATTATAAATGCTGAAACTGCCAAAACCTTGCCAAAACTATAATAAAACTATAGTAAAATCTTAGAGAAACTAATTGTAGAATTTTGGAGAGGTTTAGGCAGGCAACCTTAGTTTTAACATTTCTATTGATAACTTATTCAATACACTATATTTTTTAATAACAGGCATTAAAAATAATCAAAATAAATTAAGATAAAATCATATATAGTGTTTCACATATGTGACTCAAAATGACTCGTATTATATATAGACTCACATAATATAAATAATATAGTTAAAGTATTATAAAAATTAGTGTAGGACAAATTTTATCATATAAAAAATTGATTCTCAACTCAACTCGTGAGAAACACTAATCATATACTATATGTTTATTAGCATCCTACTTTAGGGTATGCAATATCAGTCTAATTACAAATATAGTGCAACTATTATAGTAAACATTCTTATTAAGGATTTTATATCAATTATCTATTGATCATTTTATAATTTATTAATATTTTAAAATCTTGGATTTAAATTATTTAAAAAAGAATTTTAGATTTAAATTTTTCTATTTAAAATCATGATATCGGTTAATTTACAAATATAATGCATTACTATAGTAAGGGCAGTGACATATATTAGCTAATATTATTTTAATAGTAATGTTTACTCCCCACCCCCAGGTAAGATTTTATGACTAATCACAACCATTTCACATGGTTTATATTATATGTAACCTAAGATTTTCTTTTACTCCCACACCCCCTAAAATATTAGCTAATATATATCATTGCTCTAATCATTACTATAGATTTTTATTAATATATAATAAATTACTAGTAAAATTAAATTGCTCATAATTTTATATATACAGTTAACCCTTGTTATAACGAACCTTAGAGTCCAGATCTCAACTTCACTATAAGACTATAGTGAAGATTTTAAAAGATTTGATTGGTTAATAATTTGTTATAGTAAGGGGAAATTTATTATAATTGTCTGAAAAATTCACTATATTAAGGGTTTATTATATCAAGGTTTGACTGTATATTTAACTTTTCATTTTTAGCAACTATTTATGATATTAAAATCAAGTGGCTCTGTATAAGTCAACTTGCATCAGAAAGTTTTGGGTGGATGTATAATGCCATGTATTGCTTAACACTTTTTGGTATTGAGTAACAAATCCTTTATAATTTGTAAACTGATGCTATTTAAAAATATATAAAACAATACAAATTTAAGTGTAGAGTAACACATACAATGGTAGCCATCAATAGTAAAAAAATGCATTTAATAACATTAATTTAATTATTGAAAAACACATAAATAGTTTAACAAATACGCATAATTAGTTGAAAAACACATTTATTTACTAATTAAATTAAGTAATACTAAAATTATTTAATTGGAATAAATCATTAATGTTAAAATTAAAGGTTATTTGTCTTCATCTAAAGGTAAAGTGATGTTATCTAGTAATGACATCCAATTATTAGACAATATAGACGGCAAATATTTTGTGAATTTGTTAGCATTGTCATTATTCGAATTCTGAATATAAAGATAAACAAGAATTAATTGAACTCACATTTCATTTGAAGCTGTATGTTTTTTTTCAAATGTAAAAATGGATTTAATAATGAATGTTAAATATATATCTACATTTTCATTCATAGCATCACTTGATTTATAAAGATCCTTATAAACTTTTTGCATATTTAGATGCTGTTTCCATTCTTTTATCTAGTATTTCGTAAAGTTATTTTTAAATGGTTTAATTCAGTTTATACCAAATGTAAACCATAAACCATTTTTAATACGTTTTAACCTAGTATCCTTTTTTTGAACAGATTGCACCAAGCAGTTAATTGGTTTACTAAATTAGTACATCTTTATTAATTAATATAATCATATGATACAAATTGAAATATTACTTACAGTAGCTTTAATTTTTTTTTTCACAACTTGTCAAATGTCAAACTCTTTACTTCAGATTTCTGAAGAATACTAACATATTGTTCATCAGCATCCAATTTTTCTTTAATATATATTTATTTATTCTTCAGTTACTTGCTCATAAAATATTTCATAAGCAAGCTTTCTGACCACGTCAAGTAATTAATTAATTAAAAGTGAATATAAATAATATAAAGAAATAATAATAACCAATTTATATTTATTTACTTGATAAATGTCACTATCTTTTTTTGGATCAAAATAAAAAAAGTTTATTAAAATTGGACTGCTAGATCATGAAATATTTGTAAAAAAATATTTTTTATGATTAATTTAAGTAGTATTATATTACCAATCTGATCAGATCAATCTGTTAGAAGCACTAATCTCATGGTCTATTAAGTGAAGACATTAGAACATATGCTAAAATGGCATATTTCACATTTCCTATATACTCCACTTACTAATTACCACTCAACAGTATACATATGGGATTTCATAAAGAAATGATAAGTGATTTATAAATTAATAATATTAGAATAGTTATTTAGTTAATTTGTAAATGTACTGTGGTTAACAAAAATAGCTATTGATAATAATATTTTAAAAATCAATATATTTTAAATATATCTTATCTTATCAAGATTCAAGAGATTATCTTTGTGTAAACCTGTACAACTTAAAAATACGATCGACACAAGTGATACCTCGTGATATTCGCTTTGACTGAAAAAGGAAATATATCACGCTCCAGTCTATTATAGAGATTATTCATTACCATTATACTTATATTTCTAAGCAAGGTTACACACGAATAAATGATTTATTCATGCCGAAATTGTTATGCCTATGTTCGGGAAAATATCACCCATATTCGGAAATGATGTCATACGACATTATATAAACTGGTTGTCTTATTATTAGAGTAAAAAAGTTTCTGTTGAAATGCCAACGTTTAAAGACGATTCACCCGACGGCGTTATTGTCGCAAAGGTAAGATACTTTATCTCCTTAGCATTAATATATACAAAATTAAATACGTGTTATTCTTACTTTTATAATTATTAGTTTAACGCCCAGTGGATATCTTATTCACATACTCTTCTTGCTTATGGTAAGGCATTAAAACTCTCCTATTTCTGATCTTTTATCAGTCAGCTAATTGACAAATATCTTTTAAGCTGCATTTTTTTCGGCATTGGCTATTGGTTGCTGGACACATTATTACCAAATTGTAAAGAATGAATATTGGGGATATCCAGAGGTAAATAACTTTTGAAGTTATAAATAATCAGTAATGCCTAATGTTGTTTATCACATAGGAATGGTTTCCAAGTGTTAGTGCAGCCACTGGAGATTGGTACCCGGCTCGTTCGATTTTTCAAATCTTTATAGCGATTGCGTCAGGTAAAATTATTTTTTACATTTTTTTTAAAAAAAATTGAAATTTTTAATTATTTACTATATGTACATTCGTTTTAGGGCCTCGCTTTCTGCTAATATATTTATTTTACCTCATAACCGATAGACCAAACAGTATTTACCCCAAAATTCATGCTATTGTTGGTGTAATACGTACTATTTCTTGTGGTGGATGGGTTTATATAACTTCGTCAGATGATCATTATGTTCATGACATTGCAATGATTTTGTATTTGGTGGCAAATTTACCTTGGATGTTGGGCACCTTGGCTATAGGCCCCGATAATAAAAAAGCGTTAAAATGGCGAAAGTTAACTACCTTTGCATTTTTCGGAACTATGATTCCTATGATTTACTTTTTTATTCAACATAAATCTCATCGTGTTGCTGGTGGTAAGTGACAATCTTTTTTTTTATTTGTAGCAACTTTTGTGTATTATATTAATTAAAACTTGTAAATTACTTTGTTAGCTTACACTACATACGCGTTTTTCGAATGGTCTTTGATTGTATACGATGTTATTTTTGATGCTTTCAGTTTATTTGACTTTAGCAACATTGAATTAAGAATTGTTGATATTAAATCGAGAGAAGGGTATTAATAAAATATAATTGATTATTATTATATCACGCTTTTATATTAATTTCAATATTCAATACAGGATTATAAATGCTAGCACAGAAAAGCCTGAAAAGTCCAAGTAAGCATTAAATTGTTTTCATTTGGATAAAGCTTAATTCTATATTTAATTAATATTTATTATAGAAAATATTCTAGAAATATCGAGTCTATGTTCAAATATAGTTTTTGGAATAATTTAAGAGGATTTGTGGTTGATACTTATCTTGGTATATTCAATACATTTTTTTCAATTTATTATATTTCATATTTAATGTTAATAATTTTTTTTTTTCTTGAAAAAAATTCAGCATTTGTGTATTGGTCGATGCTAACGTCACTTGCATTGACAATTTGGTATTTCCCCCTCTGGCATATGGGCATATCCGGTTATGAGGCATTCTTACTTGTAACCACTGCACCATCATTGCTTGGAATTGGATTTATACGGAAATTAGTCAATTTGAATCATGGTGTATTTCATCTTTTATCACTTGTTAGTATAGCGGCATATTTATTAATTGACCCAGCTCAACGTCTTACTGTTGTTTCAATCGGTGTTGCTATTTCAACATTGACTTGGACATCCATATGGGTCGAGAATAGCGATAGTACTTGTAAAATAGAACGACATGCTCTTACTTGGGGTTTGGGATTGATTTTAAGTAATGTAATAAAAATGGCCTGGTGGACTAATAATCCAATATGGCCGATTATGCACAAGGAAAATGGTGGATGGAATCAAGTTGGGCTTTTTCTTGGGATTCTTGCCTCATTAGAGGTCATGTTTCGTAAAAATGGAGAGAAAATACGAAGAAATTATCCCGAGCAAAGAACAATATCTTCTGGATCTTGGTTTATAGCGGCTGCTGGATTTGGATCACTTCTTTTTGCGCTTCATTCTCTACTAACTGATACTTCCACAATTATTCGTTGGGTTTATGATGGATATCCAAATACTGGTCCACAACCTGTCCCTTGGGGTGCAGTAACTATTGTCGCAATGTCTCTTGGATTAGTTCTTTCATCTTATAGAAAGATAGTAACTGGCAAACCTTGGTATGTAGTTGGATGTGTATCTTGTGCATGCATGTATTATTATCCTGCATGGAATGGATATTATGGTGGGCTTTTGCTTACTATCTATTTAATGTCCTTGGTGCCCACATTTATTGGAGTCGTTTCTCAACATCCTCCTGGAAGAACTTTTTTTGCAGCGATGATGACATATAATATCTTTTGTCTTGCACATGTGTGGGTTGTTGCCTATGCTTTTGTTCCCGCTGGTGAATACATGAGAGAACATACCGATTATGTATTATTTGCTATGATGGCACTTATTGGACTTGGTGTTAGAAATGCTTCTACTAATTACACATTTAAACATTTACAATTAAATGCATTGCATTTAAATCGTTCTTTAACAAGAGGTGGATTAGCAATAACGATTGTTTTAGGATTTTTAGTAGCATTTTCTCGTACTCCATCAGAAAAACCTGTACCTTACCATCCAGACCAAAAAGCATTTACAGCTGGTATTTGGACAATTCATTTTGCACTTGATAATGATATGTGGGCAAGTGAAATCAGAATGAGAGATGCTATTAAAGAATTAGAAATCGATGTTATAGGTAATTGAAATTTTTGCATATTTATTCATAACATGGGTCTAAAATATTTTATAAATATATATATATATATTTTTTTTTTAAAAAAAAAGGATTATTGGAATCAGATACTGAACGTATAATAATGGGTAATCGTGATTTTACACAATTCATTGCCGAGGATCTTAATATGTATTCAGATTACGGACCAGGTCCTTCAAAACATACTTGGGGATGTGCTTTACTTTCAAAATTTCCTATACTAAGATCAAAACATCATCTTCTTCCATCACCTGTGGGAGAACTTGCTTGTGCAATTCACGCAACTCTTGATGTTTATGGTCAGGAAATTGATGTAATCGTCAGTCATAATGGACAAGAAGAAGATGAACTTGATCGTAAACTACAAACAACAGAATTAGCACGTATTATGAGAGAAAGTAAAAATCCTTTTGTATTTTTAGGATATGTTGTAACTGTCCCAGGGGAAAAAATTTATTCTATGCTTATAAATGACGGAAATGTTCATGACATAGATAAAACAGATTATGATAGGTGGTGCGAATATATAGCATATAGAGGAGTTAAACGAATAGGATATGCTAGAGTAAGTCATGGACGCATAACGGACACAGAAATTCAACTAGGTAAATTCCAAATCGTTGAAAATTATAATCCTGAAACCTGGAAAGCAAGTGATAATCAAATTCAAGAAAGTGAAGTTAATGAGAGATTGAGATTTCCCAAACAATTTAAAGGCGAAGGAGTTCGTGGTCATAAATATCATGTATTTGATGAACCTCGATATTATATATAATTTTAGTAATAGTATATTTAATAAGAGATTTAATCATAAATGCAATATTTCAAATAATAATATTTAACCTTTTCAAAATAAGCTTAGAATAAAAAGATAAGAAAGTGATAAGAGTATACTAATTTTAAATATAATTTGTTAATAATAAAAAAAAATATACATATTTTAATTAATACTATAAAATAAATAAATACTACTAAGTATAGTTATATTAATATAAAAGTTATTCAGTTTTAAATACAAATTATAAATTATTATTAATTTACTATATACCTAGAATATAATAAAAAAAATTTATTATATACTTTCAATTAAGTTAAAAAATCTCAGAATTTGGTTAAAAATAACAAAGAAATCTTTTAATTAAAAAAAAAATCTGGGTTTACTTTATGATTTATTGAACTGATTTACTAAACTGATATTTTCAGTATCAGTTTTAGTAAATTTTACTGATTATTTTGATAAATTTTACCAATCAGTTTTGGTAAATTTTACTGATCATTGTTGTAAATTTATTAAACTGATTTGCCAAATATTTCATAATATTTTTTTGATAATTAATTAAAAATGGCATGAAATATATTTTAATTAATTTATTTAAAAAAATGTATTGCAATATTTTTTTTGAGAAAATATTGCAAAACATTTCTTATTAGTTAATTTGATTTAAAAAATATTTCACAACATTTTTATTAGTTAATTTATTTAAAAAAACATTTTGCAACATTTTTTTTGATAATTTAATAAAAATGTTATATTTATTTTAAAAAAGTATTTACAACCTTTTTTTTAATAAATTTAGCAAGTAAAAAATATTTTGCAACATTTTTTAATTATTTTAGTAGAAAATGCTGTAAAAATATTTTTCAGCTTTAGTGAATCTTCCATACTTTCCCTAAGAATTAATTATTTATAAAAAAATGTTTTTTTACAATTATTTTTAATTATTTTAACAAAAAACATTGCAAAATATTTTTCATCAAATAATTTAATAAGAAAACAATGCTTTGTAATATTTTTAATTATTTTAACAAAAAATATTACAAACCATTTTTCATTAAATAATTTAATAAAAAAATAATGCTTTGCAATATTTTTAATTATTTTAACAAAAAATATTGCAAAAATATTAAAAACTGAACCAATAATGAATTTAGTAATTCAGTCAGTTTTAATATTAATGATTACTAAAACTGATTAGTTTTAGTAATTAACAATACTAATACTGATTAGTTATAATCTGTTATTAATGGGTTATAACAGATATTTGTTAATATCAGATTGGCAGTTTTAAATTTTAACTAACAGGTTCAACTCAGGTTTAAAAATTGATTATCGGGTACAATTAGTTTAACTCCTAAATGATATCAGATATCAGTTTTGTAACGGATTATCAGATTAATAGTTTAAACAGGTTAGCTATATGGATTAAAGAATTTTCATGTGAATATGTAATCATTGTAATATGTTATTGTTTATAACCTGATAGATTAGAATCATTAAATCATCAGAATTATTAAATAAAAAAAAATTATCAAAAAAAATTAACAATATTGTTTTTTTTATTTTTTTTTTATCTTTATACATTTTATATTATAATATAAATCAAATAAAAAAAAATGTCAAAAAAAATTGACAATATTTTTTTTTAATTTTTTTTATATTACATTTTATATTTATATTATATACATCATTAATTCTTTATAATTATGAGTAATATTACTGATATAAGACAAGATCATTCTCATCCTTCAAGTTTTGAAGAAATGTCACAATCAAAGAAAGTAAAAAGTAGTTAAAAAAAATCAAGTTGGATGTGGAAATATTTTAAAAAAATAGATATTAGTAATAAACAAATAAGTGATAAAGAAAAATCACTTAAGAGGTGTAAAATTTTAAGTGTAGATAAAAAAAATGTGAAGCTATTCATATTAATAATAGTTCAACTAGTAATGCAATTAATCATTTATTATCAGGACAGGACCCTGGACATCTCTTATAAAACTCACAACTGACTTTTTGCCAAAAAAAACCCAATATATCAGCTGATCAAAAAAGTCAACTAATTTTTTTGAGGTGAAAAATTGCAAAATTATAATCTGGTATTTTGCTATAAATAGCATACATTTTTTAATTGGCAGTTTTTTTGTATTACATTTTTCGAAGTCTTTGCTCAACCATTAATGAAAATAAAGATTATCAACAAATTTTAATTCGGTATAACTGCTAATCATTACATATTAATACGTGTGTAAATTTTTTTTTAAAATTTTTTTTTTTTTAAAAAAAAATGGAAGCTAATGAAATTTCTTTACCACTTCAAACAGATCAACAAGTAAAGAAAAAGAAACCTGTTGAAATTCATAATTATCCTAAAGAATTCATTATTCAATATTCTGATAGTAAGCAAAGTTATATTTACTATGATATTATTAAAAAAGAAAACTATACACATACTACTTATCTCAAATATATAAAAGGTCAAAAAGGTTTTTGAATTCCAGATAATTATGAAATTAAAGTAAGTTAAGACAAGACAAGTAGTTTGATGTATAATTAAATATATGGAAAAAAATACAGTTTATTGGATATATTATAGAGATAAATTTCAATATCATATAAAGTCAGAAAAATTAAGCTTAAATGCAGCATGTTTATATACTAAAGTATGTAATTATAATAAACAGAAATTAATATTAAAAGAATTATTCTAAAAATTTTATTAATGTAAAATATAAAATTTTATAATAGGTCTTAAATCCAGAAATTAAAACACGCTATTTAGGATCACATTTTTTTGGTTTTCATTTAGAAATACTTTAGCAAGCAAGAGATATTCATCAACGAGCAACAGTCTTAAAATCATTTGACAATTTAACTTCAACTGGATAGAATAATCGAGCTAAAAAAATTGCAAAGTCTATATCTACAATATTTGATCAAGTAAAGGTAAAAGATTGTCATTCAGATGATAATCTTAGTTTAAAATCTATTGAATTTGATATTAGAAATAATTTTTTTTACCTTAGTGTTAATAAGGAAAATATTAAAGAAATAAAGTATAAAGCAAAAGCTGCCGTTCAAGCATGTGATAAAGGTCAAGTATCATGCGAAGGATATCGAATTTTAGCTTCAATTAGTCAAGATTTATCACGTGAATGGAAAGTTTCTGTAGAAAAAAAAGAGATATTACACATGAAATGAATGAAATTATACCAATTTCACTGATAAATATATTGTTAGGATCTGATGATTTTGTAAATTCAGAAATAATATCAATGATGCTGAAATTGTTTATAATATGCAACAATTAATTGGAAAAGGTGAACAACGAAATGTTGTTGATATTTAAAAATATCTAATATCTGGTCTTATTGAAAGGAAAATTTTAGATGTAATAAATCCAAAAATACATTTACGAATCTCTGATGATGGGAGAAATGTTAGACAGAAGGTTAAACAGGTTATGATTACTTGCTCAATTCTTGATGATATTGATAATCTGTATCAGCCTGAAAATCATTATACTATAGTCCTCTATCCTGGTGTTAAAAAATATGAAACTTTAAATAATATTTTAAAATCACTAGCTATGAAATTAAGAAAATTAAAAGAAGAAGGGTTTAAAGATAATCAGAATATAAAGTGGAAGGTTGAACTTTATTTCTCTTCAGATTGGAAATTTCTTGCAATGTGTTTAGGATTAAATGCAGCAAATAGTAGGTATTTTTGTCTTTGGTGTGAAGTATCAAAAGAACAATAGGATGATTTTTTATATAAATAGACAATCAGTAAAACCATGGATCAAATACGTAAAGATTATACATTTTATTACATTTTATAAGGGACATATTCGACCAGCAATTTTTAATATGATTCCTTTACAACACTGGGTGCCAGATAAATTGCATATTATGTTACGTATTAGGTATTACAGATATTCTTTGGCGATTAGTATTTGATAAACTCAGATCTAGAAATACTTGGAAAGAAAAAGCAAGAAATGTAATAATTGAAGAAATGAAACGAATTGATGTTAAATTTTATTTTTGGCTTGAGGTAGAATCAATTAACTGGTAATATACTTCTTTAATATGACAAGATAAACATTTTGATTTGTCTAAACTTTTTCCATATTCACAAGCAGTTCAAATTTAAAGTTTATGGGATAAATTTTATTTACTTCATAAAGCAATAAAAGATTCTAAAACTGATGCAACGCAATTTTCTAATGATGCTTGTGCATGGCTGTATCAATTCTTAGATTTTAATTACTTATATCAGGCAAGTGATATCATACCTTACATGCATATATTAGTGTACCATATTTCAGAAATGATGCGTATTCATTATAATTTTGGGTTAGCAGTATTTTTTTGCTCAGCAGTGGAAAAAAAAAACTACCAACAAGTTTCTCACTTTTTTAAAAGAACAACAAAGGATGGTGGTACTGGAAAAGAATGAAAGTCTGCAATTATTAATATCCTTGAATATGAAAATAGACTTTTATATTTTAAAGAATATAATGAAATTGACTTAATGTAATTGCCAAAATGTTTACGTGTTAAGTAATATTTGTTTAAAATATTAGTTTAAAATTTTGTTTTACAGATTCTTATTTTACGAAATATTTCATTTACTTCATTATCAATTAATAATTAAACCAATAAAATAGTTTTCGTTACATAGACTAATTTTTATACAAATGAATTTCTATGATTTTAGTTTTATTTTTAATTCTGTATATGCTTTTAAATACACATTTTTTTTAAAACCCCTATCCTTCTTTCTGTGCGTTAATGTCTTTATTTTTCGTCTATTCTTTAATAAAAATTTTCTATAACTCTTGTACGTGAAATTGTAAAATTTATAAAAATAAACCCTGATGAATATACAATACTACGCACATTTAATTTTGTTTTTCTCTTCCAGCAAATTACGATTTGTATGGGTTTAGGTTTATATATTCGTCATTTTTTAGCTATATGCATTGATGTCTTATTTTGATCTTGTAAAAGTTCTTGAAGAGGATTGTGTTCTTGAAAAGAATCAGGTTCTTGGAGAGGATCAGGATCATTCAGATTTGGTGATTGTTAATATGATAAAACAAATGTTTGTTGTTGCTGTGAAAAATATTTAATACTCCAATTATCATCTTCCAATACATTTAATAGTGTATGGTAAGAACTAATACCTTTAAAAATACACTTATAATTTCCCATTTTTGGATAATAATCATGTATATATTCTTTAAAAATACCAAAAAATTGACTTTCTATACAAATAATCATAATACAAACACCTCCAACATGTCTTAAATTTTTTTTTAGTTTTTCTTTTATATGATAAACTAAAGCCTGTCGTATTTTTTCAATAGCTTTCTCGGGCAAATCATAAAGGGTCAGTCTCATAGTATTAACTTCTTTAACTTTTAATATATTGTTATCCTATTAACGATTAAAGCCAACTGAAAAACTTTAACGTTTTAACAGGTTAACTGGAATTTAACTTAATAGGAGAGTCTTAAGTTGATTACAAATAATCACGTGAAATAACATTGAATGTTCAGTTAAAGAAAATAGGTTTTTATTAAAATAATGTAAGATTTTAGATACAACAAAAAATATAAATAATCTCTTAGTTGTGAAATTAATAACTATCTTGAATTATACTACTGGAAATAATACTCTTTTTGTATAACTCGAATGCTACAATACTGTGAATTAACTAACTAACAAACTGATCCTCTCAACTTAATAAAATCCTAACACTATTTATAATAAAATAAAAGTTAAAAATATTTGATAAAACAAATAAATTAATTAAAATAAATATAATAAATAAATTAAATAAAATAAATATATCAAATAAATAAAATATAACAAATAAATTAAATAAAACTAATAAAATAAATAAATCAAATATATCAAATTTATCAAATTTATCAGATAAATCAAAAAAATCAAAAAAAATCAAAAAAATCAAGGGATCTATAAAATGATCTACAAAATTGATCTACATAAAATTACTGTACCACATTTCTACTTTAACAATATGATTTTCTAAACCAGAATGTCTTTGATAGATTTTTCCACATATTTCACACTCAAACTTCTTACATAACGTATTATTTGACAATAAGGACATATGTACAACCCAGTAATTATTTATAAATAAAGTTTTTTTAGACAAAATGCCATATTTTATATAATATTAGACATGTTTTTTTAAAATAAAGAGCAAACTACAATTAAATTTATCTATTTCTTACTTGAAATTTTTTAATCAGTTCTCTTTTTTTTTAATCAGTTGTTCAGTTTGTTACATATTTAAAATATTTTATTCAGGGTATTAATAAATTTAGAGGAGACGTTTAGAGATCTGCAAAAACTCTAAGCCACTAAAAGTATATGATCTATGTAATACATAACAAAATATAGGATGCGCAAATCAGGCACAATTTTTTCAATCAGCCGATATAATTTGCTCTTTTTTTATTTTTCATTTTTTGCAATTATCTCAGTATTCAGTGATTTGCTGATTCATGCAGATTTTTTTTATTTTGTAGAGCTTAATGAGAGCTACAAAACAAAAAAATATTCGTACAAATTGGACTACTAAATGTAAAATTTAGGTCAATCTGCAAAAAAGTTACCACTGAGTTGTATATATAATGTCTGGGATCCTGAGTTGACTGTATATTAATTTCAACTTTATACTTAATAAAATTACTTTAATAGTATTATATTTATTATCCTCACACAAAACCCCGCTTACTTATAATAAAGGTCATCATAAAAAATTAGCCCTTTACTAATAGTTTTTATCTTACTTTTTTCTTAAATTCTATTGGTTAATTAGCTAAAAAGGAAAAAAATCATAATAATGTAACACACATTTCCTTTTATAGTAAGATCTGCAAAGAATTTTATATATGATTTTTACCTTAAACCTGAGAGTGACCTATCTTATAAGTAAGTGGGGTCCTCCTCACACAGTTTAGCATATTGCAGAAAGTTTAAAAGAAATATTAGAAGAGTGAAAATTACAAGAAAAAGTCTTTGTAATCACCAGTTCACCACTAATAATGCTGCCAATATGAGCATAGTAGACATGCATTTATCACTTTGCTGATCATTTGTCGATCATATAATATATCATGCCACATTAATTTTGAAACTACAGTTAAAGCCATAAAATGCTTGGGCAAACTATACTAAATGTTTTTTTAGCATTATAATTTATGAAAATAAAAAAATTATATTGTCAAAGTTAGCTTTAAACTAAAATTTTCAATAATTAGATATTTACTAATACAGTCAACTCCCTCTATAGTCACTCCCGTTATAGTCACATTCTACTATATAGTCACACCAGTTGAATGTTCAAAACACTTTATTATTAAAATCTATCCTATATAGTCACAATCTATCTATAGTCACTATCACACCTATCCTCAAAAATCTTATATTAAAAAGAACCGTTTATAATCACAGTTATATAAAGAATATATTAAATAACTTGGCATCTAATAATCGTACAAAGATGCACCATAGCTTGTTAGAATCGTCTCACTGAGACGAATCAAATGGTGGTATTTTTATCCCTTTACGATCACTGGCTGATGAGTTATTCAACAAAATGTTAAGTATCGGCATTATTATATTTCTGGATTTACGTTTACTGCGCCATTTAACATTTTGCTAAATTTCTCGGTACCTAGTGATTGTAAAAAGACGATTAATAGCTCGTTGGAATCGACTCATCAAGACAAATCAAATGGTGGTAAGCTCATCTCTCTGTGATCAATATTGACGGAGTTACTACTTAAAAACCATTTGATATTTTTTAATTTCGGAAATTGATCTAGTGATTGGATTTCGATGTATTTTATACCATTAGATTCGTCGCATCAAGACGAATCGAATGGTAGTAAGATCGTCTTTCTAGGATCAATATTGGCCGAGATATTACACAAAAACCATTAATATTTTTTTAATTTCAGAAATTAATCTAGTGATTGGATTTCGATGTATTTTATACCATTAGAACCGCCTCATCAAGACGAATCGAATGACGGTAAGATCATCTCTCTACAATTAATATTGGCAGAGTTACGATACAATAAAGTTTTGAGTATAATTTTGGCCAAAATTATGTTAATTTTGGCCGGAATTATGATATACTAATATAAGAAATTTTTTATATAGTCACATCTCTTTATAATCACCAAATATGGACTGTCCCAAATGTGTGACTATAAAGAGAGTTGACTGTATTTGCCGATCATCTGCTAATTTGGCTTTGAAGCTTTGGGCAAAGCCACAGATTTATGGGCGAAACCTAAAATTTTCAAAATATATTATTTAGGTATTCAAGAATAAATGGCCAAAATAATCATATAGAATTTTTGGTAATCAAAAAGTTATCATTGAGCAAATGTTTATGAATATTATTAAAATACACATATAGACAAAATTTGGTAAAACTTTATGAGTTAAATAAAGAATTTTTTTTGATAAAATTTAATATGCAGTAAATTTAAATGAATGTTAAGCTGATTGTAAATTATTATTATGTAGGATTTTCAACTGAAGTAATTATAGCGAAGTGATAAAATTGAATAAATGATTGATAAATGATCAATAAAATTGTAATAAAGTAAAGATATCTGCTATACTGCTAAGGTTGCTTGCCGAAACTAGAGGGTTTCGGCAGAATGGCGTACGCGAAACTGCCGAAACTAGTTTCGCGAAATCATCAAGAAATGCCGAAACTGCGAAACCTATCAAAATCGCGAAACTGCCGTAACTTGCCGAAACTGTTTCGGCGTTTCGGCAATACTTTCTATATGATTTAATTAGAGTTTCGGCATTTAAACAATTTATAAGAATAAAGATTAAAGACAATATGATTTTTTGTATGTAAATATTTATTTTATAATATTTAATATTAAACTAATAAAATACACGATTAAAAATATAATAAAAATTAAAATTTAATAATATCTTTATCTTCTATGTGGGGACCTGCTTCTACCTCTTCTTCTATTTCTACTTCTGTCCCGTCTTCTATCTCTACTTCTATCTCGTCTTCTATCTCTACTTCTATCTCGTCTTCTATCTCTACTTCTTGATCTACTTCTTGATCGAGACCTAGATCGCGACCTTCTTCTTTCCCTTCGCAATCTATATTCATATCGACGTCGATCATGCGCAGCATGCTGCCGTCGATACTCTCGTCTAAACAGATCTAAAATCCAATAAAAATATTAATGAATTGAATGAATTGCCTAAATAAAATTAATTTAAAATAATAATTAATAATAATTACCGGTTTGTAACCAGAATTCATCGTTCATATCAGCAAAACACGCTCTATCGAAACTATTTGGGCTTATAATAGGAATGTCGTCATCATTATTATTTATTATCCTACTGAGGTTTTCATAACCTCGTTTGAGG